CCTTTTCGGGGTGGGGGGGGGCGCTATTGTTCTCCCCGAGGGCGAAATAAAATTGCAAGCAACACTAAGAAAGCTTCAAATTCTGCTGCCTTTGTCCGCGTCATCTGCACTGGGGCCACTTCGCGCCACTCCAGGTAGTTTCTGTTGCGCGGTACAGTATGCGAGCCACGAACGTGGGAAATCTCAATCGAATAGGCGACCAGTGGCACTGCGTCGCAGCCGTCGACGCCAGTGGCCAGATCCTTCAGGCGCCACAGGCCGGGGTCGATGGTGGATTGAAACCGTACACGCTACTTGCATCGTTGTATTCGCAATCACCCACGCAGAGGATCTTTTCATTTGCACCTAAAACTAGCAAATATACGGTTCGCCTGCTCGTTTCTCCGCAAAATGGCTATAGTACGTCCGTCCACGAGGTTACTATAATATCACTCAACGAAGAGGCGTACTGTACTTAATTATTTTGCAATTAATCCAAACTGTGCCAACCCAGTTAACACAAACAGTCGCCTGGAGAAGAGCTGTATTTCATTGGCCGGGAAACTTATGAACCCAAAGTTCACAAAGTAACACGAGAAACGCGTTCTACTGTTTTCTCAGGCCAGCTTTCCGCTTGGGAGTGACTACGAGAACCTCAAGTACTCTGTTTTGTAACCACAGAAGAGCAATGGCTTTGGTTTAATTAGTTTTTACGGAAAAGTGTGGCCGTGCCCGCCTTCTGTTTATTGCAATATATTGGAGAACACATGTCATATAAAATGATGCGTTAACACTCGTATAACTGCAAGTCCTCACCGCACGAATGACGTTCTGCAGTGCTTCGCCATTTTCCTGCCGAAAATTTCATTGGCAGCCATTTCGAACTACCAGTCCTGTCGATCCTGGTCGCCGAGGAAGATACCCCGAACGTTCTGCAGGACAGCGCTACTGCTGCCGACAATGTTGCTGCCGTGGTTCGAAGTGATGGTTAAGGTGACGTACAATGGGCGGCAAAAGTGGCTACCAGTTGAGCCGACGCTGCCGACCGGTTTTAGCGGCTTTATCGGTCGGGTCTACTGCAGTCATTTCACTCCGTTGTACAGTACTCGTTGAGCCGTACTGCAGTACGACTCTACGAGCGTACTGTAGCTTTGGTCGCTTCAGGCTTTGAAGCACAGAAAGGTAATAGCGTTTTAGTTCAAATTCGTATCTTGCGGTTCTTTTCCAAATTTAATTTACTTAGGTTCCCAGTGAATATTAGTGATAGATAATTAATTCCGATTCGTGCATCATCGAGATCCGAGTATACTCTATACAGTCCTGTGGATCAGTTGCCATTTAGCACCCTAACAAACAGGTACGAGTTGGAGAATTTTTGCTGGACATCCCTGCGCGGGAATTGTGGATACCGTAAAGCGTAAAGGGCCTGCAAGCGCATCGTTTTGCTTTGATTGTAGGCTGCGATCCGAAGTTAGTGTTGTCAGCCATGTTTGCGGAACGGCTAAACTACGTCAATTTTATGGGCGACAACAACGTTTTCCTGCATGGCCGCGTCATGGCCGTGTCGGAGAAGGGACTCTATATCGATCTGCTGTGCCCCAATCGTCGCCGCGAACTCATTCCTATTAACCGCGTCTTTCTATCCAGTCACTCAAAATTCAGCGAATGGAGCTATGACAGAGCATTGAGGCGGAAGGCCTGGACGATGCTCCCGGTGGAAGTGTTGCGCCGTGAAAATCCCGATGGAGCGTAGCGTTAATGGCCCGGGGACCTGATTAACGAAGAAGCGTCGGGATCAGCGGATCGGCTTGGGGGCTCTACGGTGGTGGTCGTGCAGGGGAAGGATGACAGCGGTGCCATCTGGACGGACATTCTTCCCAAACACCGCGTCCGTTTTCCCGTCTGGCCAGAAGATCGCGACGAAGAGCTGCAGAAATCGGTGGTGACTTCTGCTGCGGACTGGAGAAGAACGCTTTGTCAAACGCAGTATTCCACTGCAGTTCGAGTGGCGTGCACTATCTGCGGCACTGCTGTGGCAGGAATGGCTGAAAATGGGACTGCAGACGAAGCGGGGAATAGTTTGGCGACGTGAGAAACTGACCCAGGTGATCGGTATGGGTGTCGCGGATGGACAAGTGAGCTATATTGTGGAGTTGAACGGGCGGGATGTCGGCCTTGCGCAGCGGCAAGCGGAAGACGTGGCATAGGTACTACGATCGCGTAAATGTTTAAGACGCGGGCAGCGTACAGTTCTAAGAAAAGTTGCCATGAATATTACTGACTGCATCGTGCAGTAAATGCTAGTGTTAACATTAACTGAAATTTACTGGGTTAAGTGGGGACCGTATCTTTGCTAAGTTACACTGAAATTCTTGCAGAAGACTGCTGGGTCGTTGCACAAGACATTACTTGATCGACTCCCGGGCATTCTGAGTGCTGCGAGGCCTCCTGTTGAATGTCTGCATATCAGTGGAACGACTGATGAATCCCGTGTTCTGGGTGTGGATGAGGGGCAGCCGGTCCTTTCCCACCTGGACATCCTGACACAGACTAAGCTGCGCGCGGTGTGGCCCGCGTGGAACGCTATTCTGGACTCACCGGCTCTAATGGCCAGCATCATCATCGAGAGAACCGCTGCCAGTCAACGTTTGCCGGATGTCTAGTACACCCTCACGGCACCCATCTTCAAGTGTCTCCGCTCCTCCACCAAGTACGTGATCATGCATGAACGCGAACACCCCATACAGACGCTGAATGTCCTTCGCTTGTTGGAAATGATTCACTACGTGGGACGAACCCGTCCCGGGATCTCTCTAACGGCGTTGTATCTGGTGGGTGTTGCGAGCTTGTCTGCCGAACCGAAATGCGGATTCTTGGAGCCGGGCGAGTGCGGGGTGCACCGTCTCGTCGACGGATTCGGGGAAACGGCTTCCTTCAAAGGGTTCTTGGATGATCTGATTGCGGCGTGCCGCGGTCTTCCGTGTATTGCCGTCTTTCTGGTCCGCTGCCAATTGTGTCTGCGCTACAACGGTGCAACGCAACTGCTGCTGAACCGCGACGTCCTCTTACAGCTGAATGTCGACTTCGACAATGTGCGTCTGCCGTTGACCGGGGATTTTGCGTCCACGCTGTGGAATGCGGTGGAGACGGCGCTGTCGGCACCCAGCAATGCCGAGATGCGAGCACTGTCAAAGTGGCTGAAGTTGTTCATTGCGGAGGAGCGGAGGAGAGCCACAGGAAGGCAGTTTGTAAAGTAAGGAAATCCTCTCATGTCAAAAACACCAGTACTCTTGGACATCATTCGGAAATAGATGGTTCTTTACAATATGGATGAATTTCTTATTCCAGCGCATTTCTTGTGTTTTAGGTCCTGTGCATTACGGAAACGGCTGATCCGCGTCCGTCGTGGCAGTAACGCGGGAGAAAGTGGTGCATAAAGGCAGAAAGCCTGCACTGCAAGAAACTGTCACGTATTGCCCTGCGCTTTCTAATGCTTCTGCAAGGGGCGTAGCTGCATTAAACCTGTTGTGTGAAACGATTCCTAGATTCTACAATCTACAGCGGTGTTAACTTATTTTTACAGTAGCGTTTCCCCATTAAAAGTGTAATAATTCTTGTCACTCTTCTAACAGGCTTTTCTTGGTTTATTACTGGGTTCTATTTGAAACGCTTTGATCGTTTGATATGGGACAGCTGATTGGTGTTTGCGACATACGTTGAATCTGAAATGAACAGCGTAACCGCTACGAAGTTCCAGTATCTTCATCATACACTAACTCACCTGCATTTCCGATAGCTGCATCCATTTTAACAATATAAGTGCGCTCGTAACTTACAGGAAACTTTTCAGAATTGGCATCTCTCCTGTTTAAGCGTTTACGGTACATATATCTCTGAACTCATCACTCACAGAAGAAATATTGCCGACAAAAATGATACTGCTGATAATGGAAGCTAAGGAGACAGCAAGTGTTCTGCTACTGTCACCGCTCTAAACGGACTTGTGCCTACAAACGCCGGAAGGACCTGGATTTGCTTGGTTCAAACTCCATCAGTGTCGTTTTATTGCGGGGTAATGCTGCTTGTGTTCAGGAAACGCTTTGTGTCGGTAGGAGGCTGGATGAAGTTTATGTGCTGAAATAATGTAATGCGTGACACATGTCTTGTGTTTGACCAGTGCTAGTTTGAACAAGCCAATAAAAGTAATATACTGTCCATGTGCCAAGTGCAATAAACCGGTTGATGTGTATGGCTACCACGGCTTATCCTGTTCCTTCTCTGCTGGGAGACACGCACGTCACGGCGGCTTAAACAGTATTGTGTGCAGATCGCTAGTGACGGCTGGGATCCCGGCAAGACTGGAGCCCCGGGGGACGTTCCACACTTCGGATTGTCACCCTGATGGATGCACCACTTTTGCCTGGAAACGCGGAATGTGCCTTGCATGGGATGTGACCTGCGTGGACACTGTTGCGTTGTCCCACCGAAAATCTACGTCGGCCACCGCAGGCTCCGCTGCCGCGCAAGCCGAGAACAAGAAAGTGCGCTTGTAGGCGTATCTAAATGGCAGATACGTTTTCGTACCACTAGCCTTCGAAACACTTGGCCCATGGGGAAAGTCAGCTATCTTATTGGTGAAAGAAACCGGCAAGCGACTGCAACTTCATACGGGTGACCCTCGCTCTCATGAGTTCCTTCGTCAACGGCTGTCGCTGGAGATTCAGCGTAGTAACGCCGCTTCCGTACTCGGTACAATGGAGGGAGCAACAGCGTTAAACGAGATTTTATTACTGTGATTTACTGTTTTTGTTCTATGTTCGGTGTATCGTACCCGTATTTTATGAAATAAACAACCGATAATAGATGATATACTGTCCGAGTCAGTAAGCATTGGCTATGATTTTAATTTTGCGACGCTGATCGTCATGTTGTTGAAGTCTCGTTTCTTGCTTAGCTTTCTGTTACATTTTGCACCGAACCGAGTTCAACGCACAGCGATCATTAATGTTTGCAATAATAAAAACCTGCCTACCGACGATCATCGAGAAAAAAAAATCCCACTTCGCAATTCACATCAGAAATGCCACAGAAAGATCTCGGAACTTAAGGGCTAGCCAAGGATAGCAACTGCGGACGAGACCATTCCCCAACGTCACGCAGTCAAGAAAACGAAATGTACGTGTGCGGATCAAGAAACAGACGCAGGACTGAAAGTCAACTCCTGGTACGCGTGTGCATCAGCCCGGCTTGAAGACGAAGATGTGGTGTCATGGAGTTGAAGGGCTTGCGCTCCGCTTGCGGTGTCATTGCTTCCCATTCCAATGCCGTCGCTTCCGCTTCCTCTCGTTCTCCCTTGGTCGCTTCATCTTCATGACAACACAAGCCATGCCAGATTTGCCCTCCGGCAGTCGGCAGTTCTTCGGAAGCAGCGTCCAGCTGTCCGTCTCATCATCATACACTTCGATGGTGCCATAACTGTCCCATTCCTCTACATCCCCTCCAATGACGTACAGCTTCCCGTCCAGGTAAGCGCATCCGGGACTAGAGCGACTCCTGATCAGATCCGCTGCAATAATATCAAATTGGGTTTCGGATAAACCTTAGTTTTAGTGCCAATCACAGTAGAAACAGTTCCACATATTACAGCGGAACGACACCAACCTTTCCTTATCCACTGACCACTGGCAGGGTTATACGCATCCACGCGCACAAACCGATTCACATTAGTGATACTACATCCACCTAAGGAATTCATCACAAAAACTGGGAATTAATATTCATTATTACTGTATAAAAAATTGCGCCTTATGATGTTCTGTCCATATGCTCGCCGTAGTACGCTGCCTGTAAACGTACATGTGCCTTGAGTTCAACCGCTTCTATTACAAAACGGCAACCATTCATTTCATTATTAAAACCGAAACACGCAGAAGATTCTCAAAATTTTCCAAAACAATTATCCAATACGGTATTATTTCTTTTTAAAGGATCTGGTTCCTGTAATTTTATATTAACAGCCGCAATACTGTAATCATACGAAGTGTTCAAGTACAAATTATCCCCGCTCACGTACTACACGCGTACCGAAAACGAAAATCAGTCCGCCTGCTCCCACGCAGGCAACACAGCCGTCGATGTCAGCCGGCATGTCGAGCAGTCTCGTCCATGCATCTGCTTTTGGGTCGTACGAGAAAACCGGATTGTAAACTTCCGCGCTTTCCCCGCCGAACACGAACAAGCGACCGTCACAAGCCACCAATGCAAATCCCGCCAACTCAACCGGTAGCGGAGCGACTGCACTCCAGGTATCGCTTTGCGGGTCAAAGACTTCCACGGACGTCAACGAACTGAAGTCCATAGGTCCTTGGTTAAGAGCACAGCCACCGACGGCGTAAGTGCGACCATTCAGCACGGCAAGCGTTGTGTCCGTGCGCGGTGTCTGCATGGGAGCCAGCTCGCGCCACTCGTCAAAGAGATCCAAGTAGTGGCTGCCGCGTCGTACGGTTTTCATGCCTTTAAAATGGGAAATCAGAATGGAAGTGGTGTCCAGACATGCTGCGCTGCAGCCACCAGGCGGGATGTCCAGATCCTTCAGGGGCCACACGGCGGGCACCGATGGGCTGAAAACGAATGTGGTGCCTACATCCCTGTAGTCGTCGCAACCGCCCACGCAGAGGATCACTTCCTGCGCACCTGAAACCCACAACAAAATAACGAAACGCATCAGGTGGGAAGTGGAATGCCAACAGGAGTCTACAGTTTATGAGCAAAAAGGACGAAGAATTTCCCATAATGATTTTGCAATTAAACAAGATCGTACACAATCAAATCGACGAGTACACCACAATCAATCGGATCATCCACTGATTAAGCGAACTAAATTTCATGAGCCGGAAAATGCGCACCCTGACACGAGCATCGCATTCTAAATTCTGATGGGATTTTTAAACAGGTAGCGCTACAGAGTGGAGCTTTACGTACATTCCCTCTTGACCCGAGAAGCTTGACACGAGAAGAGAGATACTGGTTGATTTTTTAACGTTTAAATTTCAAATCGAATGGAGTGTGACCCGAATGGCACTCTTTTAGTTTGATAGCTATTCCGTATTACAATACTGTAAATTCTGCATTCATTAATACAGCCGCGTGGTGATTGGTCCTTACCGCACGAATGGCGTTTCACAGTGCTCTGCGCTTCCCCGGCGGGCACTCCGTTGGCATCCATTACGGACAGGTAATCGTATCGATACTGTTCGCTGAGAAAGGGAACACGGACATTCTGTAGAACACTTGGCAGATGCGCCAGTCTCCCCGGATCATGGTCATGGTCCAACCAGCGCACCACCGCCTGCCATACTTGATCTTCGCTGAACACTTCTACTTCATCCGAGGCGATCAGCGCCGTCAGCTGCAAACAAACTGACTGTATGAATCCAAATTGAAGCATTTCATCATTATAACTGGCTTGCTTGATCACTGCCGTATAAAAAATTATACTCGTAGTCGTGGAATAAGGCGCAACGCAAGTTTAAGGCAAATAGTTTCGACCGCTTTCGAAATATGCATTCGAATAAATAATTTTAAATTAAAAGGATGCACTTTTAACATTCGTTTTTGACATTTTTTTCTGCAACGAAGGGAAATACTAAAAGTTATTACCTTATTGGCATTGCAAAAATTGTCCATTATACTTTGCTAAATCGACATTTAATTCGATTTCTCCTCTAACAGTTATTAGATATTATTTAAAAACTTGATTTTCTACTTCAAAAAGTTTTAAATACTTGAAACCCGGTTTGGCTTTGCATTAACTCGAGTTGAACGCGTCTGAAGTGTTGACCGTTTGTTAAACGGTGTCAGGAAGTGAAACTGTCACTTCCTGACACCCCACCAATGCACACGCAATGTTCTGAACCGTGTAAGACTATAGTCCGTTCTCAGTTACACCCAGCAGTCAGCACCTGTTGCGCGTCCATCTGCAGAAATTCCTGGCTCTGCGCCACGCGCACGAAGTGTGGAAGGATCAGTTCCAGAGCTGCGTTCGCCAGACGGTCGTTGTGGCACTGCGAAGCCAGAGCGTGGACGGCCAGGCAGTTGGACAGGCACAGGCGCTGCTCCACGTACTCCCAGCACAGTCGGACCACTCGAGTCATCTGCAGGAACTGCGCCGCAATCACAATGGGCCCCACGTTGTCATCGCTCAGGTCCAGATCCAGGGTATACGCATACTGGATCAACCTGAAGGATCATTAAGCGATTACTTCACAATACACATTTTTGAAAGACGACCAGATAATATGATGCGAAATCTCGTGGTAGCATCAGCGCATCAATGAAGGAGCAAAACAGGTGTTTCATGCAGAGTGCAATGCTCGAACACTATACATCACACCTCTCGTTGCAGCATGTTTCTTTCCCTATGGTTTGTTACACAGTGCCACTCACTCGTTCAACGTACGGCTGTCGATGTTCTGCAAGTGGTATTCAGGTTGTGAAGAGTCCTTCCAGTCCTGACAGAAAGCTGCCCGAAAGTACAGGCTGTGCGCGGTGAGAACATTGCGATGGCAGGGAATGCCCACCGCGGATTCCTCGCTGCCCAGCAGTACAACATCGCACAGGCTCCCCGTCAACTGCAGATCACGTAGTTCGCGGAGAAACTCCACAGCCAGGCACTCGTGATGAGGCTGCTCGGGACGACTTTGGGGCTTCGACATAATACTGAGGACGACACGGGGTGGTCCAAACAACGATAATGGATAGGAGGCGTTCAGGGACAAATCGCAAACAGTTCTTAGCTGCAACTGCAGCTCTTCGTCGACGAGAGCGACGCGATGACGACGACGCGTCGTAATTCTAGTTATTCCAGTAAAGTGTACTCGTACACAAAATACAGTACGTAACTGCACTGAGTACCATTTACGTGCTGCAGCTGCGCTGCGATAAAGAAGTGCTACAGCCGCACATGTGTGGCGGTGTCTGCACTTATTTCGCTGTAGTGGCTCGCGTGGTGTGTCTTTAGTGCTTTCGTCATCGGTTGTTTATAACGCAGAAAATTTAAAAACGCGTGAACCGATTTTAGAAATTTCAGGTTCTCTGGAAAGAGCAAACTTTCCTGAATTTACATTCAGGCAGAAACGTCCGGCTGCGAATTTACAGTCAGGCAAGGTCGAAAAAGCAGAAAAAACTGAGTTCCCACTTCTGCTGGTTGCAGCGTCAAGAATTACGCGCAAACTGGCGCACGGTAAGTCGGTAAATACTGTAAGCAAACAGACTGTACATGCCGGTCAAAGGAATTCTTCATGGGGGATGGGAACATACCCGGAAGTAAAACTGCACGCCGGGAGCATCGTTATTTTTATGAGCAAAGTAGCCAAAGAAATACCGAATTTTATTTTTCAATATTTCCTTCGAGTATAGTTTTTATTTTTATTTAGCGGTTAACAACTGTACTGTACAGTGTGCATACACTACGTAACCCTGCATTTTTGTTTTTATGAAAGTCTTTTCAGTACAGTACATTAAGAATGAGCGGTACGGTACTGTATGCCGTCATTGCTGTGTAAGTGAATTGTACAGCGTACCGCTTACTTGCGTTGCGGGTCTAGCTTTAAAGTGCAATCTTGTACTTGTAGCTAGTACTGTACTGAGTACAGTACTGTAGCGGCTCGATCAAGTGGCACCACAGAGTTGGTGTACGGGAAAACCGCACACACGCAGCGTGTGCATGCTCATGCGCTTTGCAAGCACGAGTAATGCACACTTTGCAAGTGCTGATTTCCCGTACACAGACTCTGTGGTGCCACTTGATCGAGCCGCTACAGTACTAGGCTACCAGCTACAAGTACATTGTAAATTTGTACGTAAGTAGTGCGTACGTACAGACGGTACGAGTACAGTCGATAGCAGCTTCATTTTCGTTACCAGTGAGTAGTTATTGCACTACTCCTTTTTATTCTTTACAGTTTCTCGACCATCTAGTGTCATCCTCAGTCCGCTGTCGCAGTCCAGCAGTTGTGCCGACCAGCCTTCTGACGTGCGCCTGGCTCTGAAGTTTCTCCGCGAACTACGTGATCTTTAGTTGAAGGGGAGCTTGTGCGGTGTTGTTCTGCAGCGAGGATTCGGCGGTGGGCATTCCCGGCCATCGCAATGTTATCACCGCCCACAGCCTGTACTTTCGGGCCGTCTTCTGTCAGGGCTGGCAAGACTCCACACAACCGAAATTCCGGCTGCAGAACATCGACACTCGTACGCTGGATGGCCATTACCAGTTAAATATAATTCTATAACAAATTCGTCGTCCTCTCTGAGGCTTGCTCGGCAATGCTTGCAAATCACGCGGTCGCGACAGGACATCACACTGGAATAGAGTCCCACAGTATCGTTACAATAAGCCACCAACCTGCGAAAAAAGCTGCCATCCACATGTAGGAAGTGTCGCCATCATCTTTACATTCAGTTTACACTTTACAGTACATATGCTTTCTACAATTTCTTAGGTTATTCTACAATTTGCTTGACATTCTCCAGCGCATAACCGGCGAGCGTGCAGCTCCTAATTATCATAACTTCACGAACAAAAATGCATTCAACCAAAACTGATTAAAACTACCGGTACCCAAAACTTCTAGGCGAACTTTATATTTGTTTCATCGTATGTAAGGAATATTTCCGGTACGCAAACTACTACAGCTGTATCATGCGGTAACTGTATTTATGAAGATGCTTTTCTGTAATGCAACAACAGCAGATTAAAGGTTCCATCGCTGGAAACCGATAACTGAATATCGTAAACAAATAATGTTACCGGTGAAATGCGAGGCAAGTTGGCTTGCATGCCAACTGCCTAAGAGAACAAACAGGAGATGGAATTTAAAACGCAACGGTGTTTGTACGTTGTTTGTACGCAACGTTGTTTGTTGGCCAAAGACCGCCGGGTTCGAAGTGGAAACTCGTCATACGGAGCAACAGCGTGGCGTGCTCAATCCCCGACGTGGAGTCAGTGAGCAGAGGTAGCGGGGTGGAACTCCTTCGCCTGACCGCTCCACAAAAATTATTCGGCATTGATCGGACCATGGAACAGGCGAAACTCAGGGTGAGATATTCGTAAGAGCAGGCTGAGCAGCCGGATCAAACGACAGTTCATCCGCCTTGGCAGCGCACTTACGTTTTTAATTACTGCATTTTCCATCAGGGATTATGTAATAATTTGAATACGCTTCTGTAATTGAAGGTTACAATTACTATGCTGAAAAAAAAGGTAAAATCATTACTCACAGAACCAAATATCCGATTGTTAATTTTTTGGATATTAAAATTCTGGATGGGAGACTCATGCACATTATTCGATGCATTTGTTGATAAGAAAATTAATTTGAAAAAAAGTTTGACGTCAAGTTTTCTATCAAATGCAAAACATAAGAAAAATGCAAAAGCGTAATAACGAAACTGACAACTTATTTAACCGAAATCCTGTGCTAATTGATATGACATTATTTTTGTATGCACATTACCGCAAATGGTTCTGCAATAGCCCACACACTACGCCCGTCGCCCACCAACTTGCAACGCATCCGCAAACCACATGACCGTTAAATAAATCGAATACTCACAAGAAAGCTGCGGCGAAAAATAATGCATATTTAAATTTTTTTAATATTATCACATGTAAACGAACGCTGGCACTTACTGACCGGCGATGCGAATGGCGGTCCGATTGTAGACTTCGGTGCCAAATCTGCGTACTTTTACTTTACATCTGGTGCTTTCTTGCAAAGTTAATTGAAATTATTGAAATTCAAAAATTATTTTCTGTACTAAAATTTCGTCAGCGTAAATAGAAAAAACGAGAAGTTTAAAAATATGGAAATTCGTTCGAACGCTCGTAAAGGTCGCTTAATTTTCTTCGGCTGAAATGGAATAAAGAAAGACCGGCAAGTGCTTCTAAAGTTTGTTACTTGTTACGAAGAAACTACGATTAAAACAAGTAAAAATATAAGCCTAATAATAGTTGACATATTTATTCTTGTAATGATAAGACACAAAAATTTGAGATGTCAAAAATTTGATATTTCTGCAATATTTACTGTACTCTGTGTGTTTGGTATCTACTCGACCGAAACGAAGAGAAGGTCCTCTATGTTAGAGAATACGGGATTTTTGTCGGCCACGTCCTTCACGCAGAAAACTTAAAAAAAACTTGTTCAAAATTTGTTAAATTTATTTCGTTTTAAAAAATATGTATTGTGAAATGTAATTTTTTAAAATATTTTTTTTTAAAAATCAATAATACTTTCCGGCGTCAATATATAGTATCTACTATGTGATAAATCCGGCTGCAAGCAAAGACTGATTCCAAAAATGGATTCAAAAAATATTAAATACCGTCTCAACTTGAATATTATCAGAGTTCTGCAAAACAACTGCTGAACATTTTCAAGCAATAATGTGATAACACACCGGGAGCGTGATGGAAAACGTAGTACAGTGACCATAATTGGGTCTTAACAATCGAGAGCTGGCAGTTCGTTCCTCGGCAATTAAATCTCAAATTGAGGAAGCTGCATTTTTTACGCAGCATTGCACGAATGCTAATAAATGATCATAGTTTTTGCAGTAAAAAAGGGTAAAGATATGTCTTTTGCAAACATATCAGTGATTTGTCATTTTTGAATGTTTAAGTTTTAACTTACAAGTAGTGTACCGGCGCCTGCAATCATTGGTATCTTGGCGGATATTGCTCATTAAAGTGTAATTTGTCATTAAATACAAGGGATAAAAATAGGCATTTAAATAAGTAGGCATTTAAAACAGAATTTTGTTTCAAAAGACACGTAAATCAGAAAAATTGCTTGTACAAACGGTCGCTTTTATCGGAATCTTCCGGGCGCTCAGTTATCTTGCTATGCGGCCGGAACATAGTGACCCGGAAATAGTCCTGAAGTTTGCGAATCAAATTCGCAACTTGTGAAAAACATCCGTATTGTTCTTGATTTTATTTACTCATCCCCTTTTGTGAATCTTACTTAACTGGTGTTCGTAGTGTGAAATAATCTGGGACTTACAGCCAATAAAAATTACCAGCAAAATTACAGATATCGTTTACACTCTAAACAGAATTTTCACGTTTAGCTGCTCCAGTGCGGTCTGCGAATGCGCAACAATGTGCATTTTCCTATTTATTTGTCATTACAGTACAGTAATATTAATTTTGTAAATACAGTGCAGCCCCAGCTGCAGAAAAAAGTAAAACTTTATGCTTATCTGTAGAAGTAGTCGGATTCATTGCTAAGTTGACAGGCAAATTAAGCGGACATAACGCCTCAAATGCAAAGGTTCAGTACTTTGAAAGCAAACCGGAATGTTTGGATTTCCCTAGCATTAAAACATCAATTGTAATTTGTTTCCGTTTTTTTTCAGATTTTAAAATTAATTCCAAAGTAACTAAAATAAAAGTAAAAGTTGAAATAAATTCATAAATGTTTGGACTTCTTCAACGGTTGGACCGCGCCTATGTTACACCGGCACCACAAAAACTGACTGATTTTTTGTAGCAGGAAAACGATCAACTTTATTCTGTCGGTACACGCCTTCCCGACAACCGGACAACGTTCGCAATACTCTGGCTAGAAAAAAACTAATTTATAAATAAGCTTCTTGCTTTAAACTAAAAATCTAGGCTCAGCAGTCGATAGTGCTGTCTGTACACATCGTACGTATCCGCAATTTCGTGTACAGCATATGAAACGGCATTTTGTTGGGTCTCTTTTTGCGGTCTCTGCATGACCGAACCGCAGCAGGGTACTTACCCAAGAGCAGCTCAATTTCGGTCACTTAGCTAGTTGGCAATAAACTTTTATGTAACAGCATCAGATGTACAAATGTACAGCATTCGCAAGTCACCAGCAAAACTGTGTGGATCAACCTTCCGCTAGTAAAAAAGACGGCCGTCAATCTGACTATTTTTTACCTGTACCAGTGTGTGTATTCGCTAGCGAGGGATTTTGACGAGCTGACATGTACAAATTCCTTTGTACCAGAACTTGTAACGACACTGCAAGGTCACCCACCATCTTTTAATCTTGTCACGACACTTCGGCAGTACTGTCCCATATGACAAACTATCAGGCATTTAAACTGAACCAAACCAATCTGCTAGAAAAGCGACAAGAATTATTACGCTTATAACGAGGAAATGCTATTGTAAAATCAAGCAAACGCCGCTGTAGAGTGTAGAATAATGGAATCGTATCACGCAACAGGTTTAATGCAGCTGCAAACGGTGCAGAAGCATAAGAAAGTGCAGGGCAATACGGGATAGTTTCTTGCAGTACAGGTTGTCTCCTTTCGTGCACCATTTTCTCCCACGGTACTGCAACGACGGACGCGGATCAGCCGTCTGCGTCAGGCACAACACCTACAACACAAGAAATCCAAAATAGAAATTAATCTGGATCCACTTTACACAGAACCCTGTATTACCAAATGATATGTACACAGAGTACTTATGTTATTTTAACATGAGTGGATTCCCTTACTTTACAAACTGCCATCCGGTGGCTCTCCTCCGCCACGAACTTCTTCAGCCACTTTGACAGCGCACGTATCTCGGCCTTGCTGGGTCCCGACAGCGCCGCCTCCACCGCATTCCACAGCGTGGACGCGAAATCCCCGCTCAGCGGCAGACGCACCTGGTCAAAGTTGACATCCAGCTGTAGGGCGCCATCCCAGTTCTGCAGGAGTTCCGCAAAACCTTCGTAGCGCAGACGCACCCGGGAGCGGACCAGATGCAGGGCCACACACGGAAGACCGCGACGCGCTGCAATCAGATCATCCATGAACCCTTTGAAATTAGCCGGTTTCCCGAATCCGTCGACGAGACGGTGCACCCCGCACTGGTCCGGCTCCTCGAAACCGCAATGCGGTTCGGCCATCAAGTTCATTACACCGACCAGATACAACGCCGTCAGAGAAATCCCGGGGCGGGTCCGCCCCACGTAGTGAATCATTTCTAACATGCGAAGGACATCCAGCATTTGGACCGCATGTTCGCGATCATGGATGATCACGTGCTTGGTGAAGGAGCACAGACACGTGAAGATGGGTGCTGCGAGGATGTACTGGACATCCGAAAGACGCTGACTGGCAGCGGTCGCCTCGATGACGATGCTGGCCATCAGAGCCGGCGAGTCCAGAATGGCGTTCCACGCGGGGCACACCGCGCGCAGCTTGGTCTGCGTCAGGATGTCCAGGTGGGAGAGAACATGCTGCCACTCATCCACGCCCAGAACACAGGATCCCTCAGTCGCTCCGCTGATATGCAGACATTCAAAAGGAAGTTTCGGCTCATTCAGAAAGCCCGGGAGACGATCAAGCAGCGCCTTGTACAGGGCTCGAACAATTTTCTGCAAAGATTGTCTTCAAGTTAGCAATGAGAGGCACACGACAAAAACCCATTGAAATGAGTAAAGCACGAATAATTAAGACGGAAAAGAAAATTTGAAAAACATATGGCTACAGAGTGCGGATACACAGTTTAGTAACGTAGCCGAGCTACGTCAGCATTTTCAATGCAAAAAGTGGAGAACACACTGATACTCTGATAGGCTGGATACTACCTTAGCTCTTCTTATCGATATAAAATGCTTAAAAATATCTGAAAGTGAATGCAAGTTTGATTCGCCAGATATAAGAAGTCCGCAGACCCATGAAGGTTTGCTTCTCCATGAAAAGCCAATCTACTGCAATGATGCAGTCGACGGCATCAAAAGTCATGGCAGATTTTCTCATGGCTCTACGCTATGATTCTGGAGTTCGTCGTACCTTTGCCTTGGGAACACCGTCATCACTGTTCAGCTCCACAATGAAATGCACGAGCTCATCCGCAACGTCGATGCCGACCACCTGGTCAGGTCTGTCACGTCGCCAAACAATTTCTCGCTTAGTTTCCAGTTCCTTTATCATCCATTCCTGCCACAGCTGCGCTGCAGATACCTCGCGCCACTCCAACGGTAGCGGAATACTGCGCTTGACAAAGCATCCTGGTCCAGTGCGCATCAGGTGCGTCATCACCGCCTGTGGCAGCTTCCCGTCGCGATCTTCTCGCCAGCTGGGAAAACGGACGCGGTGCTTGGGGAGAATGTCCGTCCAGATGGCGCCGCTGTCCCCCCGCCCCTGCACGACCGCCACCGTGCATTCCCCATACCGTTCTGCTGATCCCGACTCTCCTGGATTAACCAGCATCCCGGGCCACCAACGCCACGCTTCACCGGGATGTTCCCGGCGCAACACTTCCACTGGGAGCGTCGTCCAGGCATTCCGCCTTAAAACTTTACCGTAGCTCCATTCGTTGAATTCTAAGTGATTGGATAGGAAGGCGCGGTTAAAGGGGATGAGTTCGCGACGACGGTTGGGGCACAGTAGATCGATGTAGAGCCCGTCCTCCGCCACGTCCATTACGCGACCGTGCAGGAGGACATTGTTGTCGCCCACAACGTTAATGTAGTTTAAACGTTCCGCAAACATGGCTGACAGCACTGATCTTTGATCGCAGCCTACAAGCAAAGCAAAACAATGCGCTGGCAGGCACTTTACGGTTTACAGTATCCACAAATCACGATTCACGCGCAACGATGTTCATCAAAGATTTTCCATACTCGATACCTGATTCTTAGGGTGCTACAATGCACAACAAGGATGGTACAGGGATATACTGCAATCTCGATGGTGCAAAAATCGGAGTTAATATCTGTCAAGGATTCACTGTGAACGTGAGCAAATTAATCAGAAATCAGAAAAGAGAAGCCCAAGTGTATCTGAAGTAAAACGCCATATTTTCTACTGCTTACACGTTGCAGTGACCAAAGCAGTTAGTACGACTGCACCTGCAAAAATGACTTAACGCCCGGCCGATGTAGCCGCTCAAACCGGTCGGCTCAACTGGTCCCGTTCGACGTTCAGCCACTTTTGCAGTCCATTGTCCGTCATCTCATTGGCTCCCCCATTTTGGCTTTTTTCATTCAGCTTTTCTAGTTTTCTTTCTTTTTTCTAAATTTATCTATCTCCGGGTGAATTAGTGCTCGAGAATTATCATTCTGATTAGTTTGCGAACGAATCAAGTGTGCTTACTAATTACTTTCCTGACTGCCCGCATTGCCATTCGAATAGTTTATCGTACAGAACTTACAGTTCTCTGACTATCAGTTTCTAGCCGTTGTAATGTATCCCTCCGTACTTTCCTTCTACAAGGATAAGCCGAGCAGTTCCGCGCATCACCGACTTCCGCAGGACTGCCCCGCTAACACTGTGGAGTTCCTGCGTGGAATGCGTGATCTGCAAGAAGCGGGCACTTTCTGCGACGTTGTACTGAAAGGCAGTGACGCGTCTTCGCAGGGTATTCCTTGTCATCGTAGCGTGCTCACCGTGCAGAGTCCGTATTTCCGCGCTGCCTTCACGCACAACTGGAAAGAATCCTCTGCACCAGTTTTCCGGCTGGCAAACATCGACAACAGCACGTTGAAGGAGTAAGTCTCGTGACAGCGTAGCACAGTGGTAATTCAGCAAACCTACGTTTGCGATCAGTTGTAGCGCTCCAGGGAATTTACAACCTGGCAATGCTAATCATAAATGTTATATCTGCATGTTAACCAAAGATCTGGAGATTTCAGTTTTGCTCTTTCGCTTTTGCATGAGTCGGCGTCACTGATAATGTTTGTAAATTGATGCAGCGTATGTTATTAGCAGTCATTCGGTGATCAGACTTGATTCCCTGTAGATTGGTGACGTATGCGTACACGATGGACCTGCGCTTGAGCGATGACAACGTGGTGCCCATCTTGATTGCGGCGCAGTTTCTGCAGATGACTCCGGCGGCCCGTCTGTGCTGGAAGTACGTGAAGGAGCGCCTGTGCCTGTCCACATGCCTGGACATCCACGCGCTGGCTTCGCATCACAGCAATCCGAGCCTGGCCAACGCAGCTCTGCACGTGATCCATCCGAACTTCCTAACCGTGGCGCAGACAAAGGAATTTCTCCTGGCGGATGCGCAGCAGGTGCTCGGTCTAATTATTGAACTGTTTCAAGAATGCTATTTAAAGGTCATCCTCATTCAGCCACTGAAATTATGAGAAAGTTACTACATTTACAACAAGACAATGTCTTCACTTATTCTTACATTTGGTATGCGCTTAGTTAATTTGTTTGCAGCTGGCGGCGCTGATCGCATCTGATAAAGTGGAGGTCTTCAATGAGGACCAAGTGTGGGAGGCGGTGAAGCGCTGGCAGGACCACGACCGTCCCGGACGTATGGCGCACCTGGCCGCTGTCCTGCAGAATGTCCGCGCTGCCTTCCTCAGCGACGAGTATCGCAAGGACTGGCAGTCCGCCTATGGACTGCATGTCGGGGATGGGCAGAACACTGCGCCACGCCATTCATACAGTAAGGACCTAGCAGCTGCATTTATTATGTTGTACGATTTAACTTAGTTGCAAAAATTTAATCAATAGCCAGTTTTTGTCGTGTGGTTTGTAGCCCTGGCATTTGCATTCCACGTTGTCATATTGGTTTGCTGGTTTCAGAGGCGAAGGACGTGATCCTTTGCGTGGGCGGTTGCGAAGTCGACTATGACGACTACACAGCTCCCGTCACATGCTCCGTGTACGCCTTCAGTCCGTCGATCCCGGCCGTGTGGCGCCTGAAGGATCTGCCCGCTTTCGGCGAAGGCTGCCACGCCGTGCTGCTGGACGCGGCTACAATTCTCATTCTACACCGTGATGGCATGCATACCGTGCGACGCAGCAGTCGCTACCTGGGTCTCCGTAACGAGTGGCGCAATGTGGTCCCAATGCGGACACAGCGCCGGGAGGCAGCGCTTGCCGAGCTGAATGGCCGGATTTATGTCGCCAGTCAAGAGGATAAGGATCCATTGACGCCCGTGGAAGCCTTCGACCCGAAAAGTAGCTCCTGGTTCGAGGTCGCATCCATTCCCATTGCTCTTAACGGCTTTGCCATGGTGGCATGTGACGGTCGACTGTTCGTGCTGGGCGGAGACAGCCACGAAGAAGAATCTGGCAGATACGTCTTCTCCTACGACCCCGGGGCAGATCATTGGACTCGACTGCGCGATATGCCGACCGAATGCAGCTGCATCGTTGCCTGTGTGGGTGCTGGCGGATTGATTTTCGTTTTCGGTACGTGTTCACCGTTGTGTCGTTCAGTGACAAACTGCATGGTATTGTAAAAATTGATTGGAGATAGTGATTTTTATGGTGTACGGTGCAGGTGGAGATGATAGTGCTGAACGGTGTGTGCGCGTGGACGCTTATGACCCCACCTCCGACCAGTGGGTCAGAAAAGGTAGGTGCCGTTCTGTTGCACATTTTTAATAATGCGTGGCGGTATACGGCGACAAACTTGTACTCCAGTTCTCCTCAAATTAGAGCTACTTTCAACGAGAAAGCCGAATTATACTCGTAGTTCATTTACCACGATATTATTGCAGCGGATATGATCAGGGAACGTCTTTATCCTGGATGCGCGTACCTGGATGGAAAGCTGTACGCCGTTGGAGGAGATCGATGGGTGAAAAATGGCTATTACAGCATCGAGGTATACGATGATGAGACGGACAGCTGGACGCTGCTTCCGAAGAAATGCCGATTGCCGGAGAACGCGTATAACTTTGACTGTGTAGTCATGAAGATGAAGCCTGAGTTTGACTGATTTTCATTTTCCGGTTTCCGATTACTTTCGTTTAAATTACAGTATGAAATTAGGATTTTGTCTTATCCGTTGATGGCGTACTTTTTATACTTTTCTAGGATGTTTTGATCTTTTCGGATATTCGATGTGAACGGTCAAGTACCGTATTATTAGTTTTTTTGAGGCGATCTCTGGTAATGGTTTTGCTTGCGAAATGGTGTACAGATACTGGTTAAAATGACGGTGCGCTGAGCCGGGCTCTGTGCGAGAAGAAACCAAAACCTAAGCGAAACGGAGAACGTTCCAGGCTCCAGCACAACACCCGCAAACATATTCTGATTTTTTCTTCGAACACGGTTTTACGAGCAGTATCAGGTAGTTTTACCGTATTTCGATTGAATCCGTCACTGTATGAGTGTTACTACGGAGTCTACGGCTACTGGATCACTCGATAGGATGCTAGATCGACGGACTAGTAACAAACGGTTAGCTTAACCGCAAAGTAAAAGCTCGATCGGTATCGTAAAGGTGTCACGAACTTGATTGCGGAACTGGATTGCGGCGACGACTAATTCCAACCGGACTAGTGCAAGGTGCACCGTCTCGGCGACGGATTTGGGGAATCGGCTACTTTCAGTGGGTACTTGGATGATCTGATCGCAGCTTGCCGTGTGTGGCCATCCGTCTGGTCCGCTGCCGAGTGCGTCTGTGCTACGCCGGTTTTACGGAGCCGCTGCAGAGCTCGGACGTCTCCTTGCAGATGGATATTGTCATGCCCATGGCCCGTCGGCCGTTGAGCGCGATTTCGCGTCCACGATGTGGAATGCGGTTGACGACCCGAAGTAACGATATACGAGCACTGTCAGATTGGTTGAAGGCGCTCGCGCCGGATAGGAAGCCGAGAGTAGGGTGTTCGAAAAGTAAGCGACTCAGTTATTCATAATCCGCTATCTGTAAGTAATTTGGGTAAATGCGGTTTTATCGGCGTGCTGTATTTGAACGGGTTTCTGGTTTGGTACTCTAGGTGTTATGCTTGACGAAGATGGTTGATCCGCGTCCGTCGTTGCCGCACGGCGGGTAAGAGTGGTGCGGAGATAGACTGCAGGATCTGCGCTGCGAGAAATTCTCCCGTAATGCACTGCGCGTTTTTCAACTTCCGTTCAAGGAACAGCTGCGTTTCTGAATCTGTTGTATTATTACACTCATTGATTCACCATAGAATATGCACATGTATTGAATACTCTCTGATTCAGCCGTGTCGTTTTTTCTATATGGAAGTCTTGCAGCGATAGCTCTTTTCACTTTTTTACCTGGTTCTTGGTTTAGGTTGATTCTTGGGACATCTCAGGTTTGCTGTCCGCTTCCTTTCATGGAAATTTCTGCCTGTTTTTCTGTTTAGGAGAATTTCAATAGCCACACTCAGAAAAATTGGTTTTGTGGTAATTAATACGCATGTCAATGCTAAATCACAAGCATGCGACTCAGTTGTTCGTTCTGTACCTCGTTCCTGCTTTCATTTAGCACTTTTTTGGTTTTCTTCACCGTTGAACGAACACAAAACAAATTATTAAATTCGGCAAAAATTCTGCTGCATGTAGAATTAGAATTTATATGGGCACTGCCTCAAACAGTTTCCAATTTGACTCGCCTGGATTTGATGTCCGCTGAGACCGCGGTTTGTCTGTGACTCTGTGTATTATAATTTTTGCGTTAGCAGTCAAGTACAAGTACCACACAGAATTACTATGCATAATGCATGTATAAAGTGTAAAGTAAGTACAGCATTAGTCTCTTCGGTTGAACGACTCGTATAGTCGTCTAGTCGTACTGTACATGCAGACTGCTGCAGTAACTTTAGCAGCTGCTTTGAAAGCAGTAGGAGGGACATGAGACTCTCTGACTGCAAAAAGTGCACACTGCAATGCTACAGCTTTTGTTTCTTACTTCAGAATTTAATTACTGTACTTCACAGCAGGTCGATGCTAGAGAGCTATCATTCTTATTAACTTGTGGCCCAGTAAGTGTGATTGCTTACAAAGTTACAGTAACGTTCCTGACTGCCAGCTGTGTCAATCACTAATTCCAGTTCCCTGACCATTGGTTTATAGCTGCTGGATAGTTTTCCCTCCTGATTTCCTGCACCATGTCGCAGCCGAGCGGTTCCGCAGATCACCATCCTCCTCAGGATTGCCCCGCTAACACTGTGCAGTTCCTGCGTGGAATGCGTGATCTGCAAGCAACGGGCACCTTCCGCGATGTTGTCCTGAAAGGCAGTGACGCGTCTTCGCAGGGTATTCCTTGTCATCGCAGCGTGCTCACCGTGCAGATCCCTACTTTCGGGCTGCCTTCACGCACAACTGGAAAGAATCCTGAACCAGTTCTCCTGCTGGCCAACATCGACAACCGCACGTTGAAGGAGTAAGTCCTGGTAGCAGCGTAGCACGACGATAATTCAGCTAAACTGCCTCTGCTGTCAGTTGTACTCAGTACAACTTGATCAGACTTGATTCGCTGCAGGTTGGTGACGTACGCGTACACGATGGATCTGCGCCTGAGCGACGACAACGTGGTTCCCATCTTGATTTGGGCGCAGTTCCTGCAGATGATTCCGGTGGCCCGAATGTGCTGGAAGTACGTGAAGGAGCGCCTGTGCTTGTCCAACTGTCTGGTCGTACACGCTCTGGGTTTTCACCACCATAATCCGCGTCTGGCCAGTGCAGCTCTGCACTTCATCAATCCTCAATTTCTCAGCTTGTCACACTGCCAGGAATTCCTTCAGATGGACGCGCAACAGGTGCCCGGCTATTTGTTTCTGATAATGACAATTACAACATGTCGTCCGCTGTGTATGAACACAAATTCGCATTACAATTTGCGGAAGGGCTAAAATCTCGAACTCTAGATTAAGGCTTTCAAAATCAAACCAGGCTTCGAATATTTGCAACGGTTTAAAATAGAGGAGGTTATTTTTCTAAAAATTGAAAGGTTTAAATGGAGAAACCATGCAATATGCTGATTTATCAAAATAGGTTCCGTAATGTAAAATTAAATAACTGTTTTAAAAAATGATGTCTACACTGTACAATACATATCACGTACAACATGCGCTTAGTTAATTTGTTTGCAGCTGGCGGCGCTGATCGCATCCGATAAAGTGGAGGTCTTCAATGAGGATCAAGTGTGGGAGGCGGTGCTGCGCTGGTTGAACTACGACCGTGCCGGACGAATGGCGCACCTGGCCGCTATCCTGCAGAATGTCCGCGCTGCCTTTCTGAGCCGTCAACATCATAAGGACTGGCAGTCCGCCATGACCGCCTGTGGACTGCCTCTCGGGCAAGGACAGAGGACTGCACCACGCCATTCGTACGGTAAGGACATCGCAGTTGCATTAATCACGTTGTACGATTCAATTTCATTGCAAAAATTATTCAAGTGCCAGTTTGCTGTGTGGTGTAAGCCTTGCATTTGCATTCCATGCCGTTTTAATGGTTTGCTGGTTTCAGGGGCGCAGGACGTCATCCTGTGTGTGGGCGGTTGCAAGAGCGATTGCGACCACCACACAGCTGCCGTGTACGCCTTCGACCCATCGATCCCGGCCGTGTGGCGCTTGAAGGATCTAGCCGCTGACGCCGAAGGCTGCCGCACGGTGCTGCAGGACGCGTCTTCGATTCTGATTAAGCACCTTGACGGCATTCACACCGTGCGACGCAACAGGCACTACCTGGGTCTCCGTGATGAGTGGCGCGAGGTGGCCCCTAACGGAGACGCCGCGCCGGGAGGCAGCGCTTGCCGTGCTGAATGGTCGCGTTCACGTCTCCGGTACCGGCGATAACGAGTGACTGACGTCCATGGACGTCTTCGACCCGAAATCTAACACCTGGAGCGCTGTCGCCCCTCTGCCCAGGGATATGAGCGGCTTTGCCATGGCGGCGTGTGACGTGTGACGGTCGACTGTTTGTGTTTGGCGGGGTTAGCAGACGAGGACATGACAAATATGCCTTCTCCTACGACCCCGACGCAGATAAATGGACAGGACTGCGCGACATGCCGACGCAACGCGTCTACTGCACTGCCTGCGCGGGACCAGCCGGGTTGATATTCGTCGTCGGTACGCTAACGAACGTTAAGTTAAGACAGCATGCCATGGTTGAAATCGTTCAGTGATCAAGATGGTTTTCGTCGTGTACTATGTAGGTGGAATTGCGCAAGAGCGTGTGTGCGTGGACGCACCGACCAGTGGGTGAGGAAAGGTAGGTGCGATTCCGTTGCAGGTTCCGAACTGCGTTGCGGTATTTCGTGAATTACGGGAAGCTGTACGTTATCGGAGGGGAGTCCCCGGGAGGCGGCGGCAGCATCGAGGTGTACGATGAGGAGATGGACAGCTGGGCGCTGCTTCCAGACGAATGCCGACTCCCGGATAACGAGTACGCCTTTGATTGTGTGGTCATGAAGATGAAGCGCGACTGATGCGCGCACCGGCTAGCGGGTGGCTAGGAACTGCGTATCTTTTACTTTCCGGCTGCAATTTAGTTTTCCTTTTATGGGAAGTTGTCAAATTCGTTTTTTACCGGTTTTTTAAAAACTTTAATAACTTTATGGTGTTATAAGCGTCCTGCCGCATTGCGATGTGAACGGCGAAGGGCGAAGTGATGTTGGTTTCCTTTGCTATGATCTCCGGTAGATATGAGCTGTTTTTCTTGCGAAATGGTTTGATGGTTGAAATGAATGTGCGCTGAACCGGGTTTTGTGCGAAGAGAAACAAAAGCTCGCTCCTCTCATTGTTTACATACGTACCGGTTTACATACTGAACAAAACAAGCTTTAACAGATGTAAAAGAACAAAATAGGCTCCAAAAATTCGAAACAGGAGATTTACTCGTCCTTTCGCATTCGTAAATAAGCATTCTTGCTCTGCGGAGTTTCTGTATTTTGTTAAAACCGTTCTAATCCGTGCGGTTCGGTAGGAGTTGCAATAGTGATTTGAAATAGTATCTGTTTCCTTTTTATTACGCGGCAAAAGGAGTATGCGAAGCGGAAGATAGGGCAGCGGGTTGTGAATAGAGTGAAAGGCGGTACACATGAGTAACTGATACGAATATGGACTTACGATGATATGAAAGGTAGTATGATGACCGGTAGGACCGAAGTAGTACCATTATGACACTCCGTACGAGCATAAGTTTGGGGTTATAAGTTGGATTATGAATATGAGGTCTCTTGTGAGCACTAAGTACATCCCTAAAGAGTACTTTTGCCATAACTTGTTGCCAAGAACCAGAACCCACTTTGCACCCTGAACCGTACTTATACCTTGGAAAATTTCTCCAAAAACATATTTCAGGTTGTCTACCGGCGTTAATCGCGAGAAACATTCCACTTCAGTGACTTTCCCGGCTCACAGTAGAAAAACGTTCGCAACGCAACCAGCAAGAGAACTGAACAAAAACTTTTCAAGTGTTGATATCCTATTGCTTACGTTGAATTGTTCACTTTTGACAAAGATCAGCGAACATTATCATTTTAATCGAATTAGCAGTTCGCACAGAAAAACTGTTGCTGTCTACCGGAGATTATCCCAAGGAAAACAAGCACCATAACGTCGCCGTTCAAGATAAAAAATCTGACAGAAAGACCGCAACATACAACAGGAATAAAAAAATGCGTCAAAAAATGGATTTAGCAAATCTTCAATGAAAACCAAATTAAAATGCAGCCATAAAATAAATTATGAAAAACACTGGGTCAGTCGCTGGCCGGGGCGCGCTTCATCTTCGTGCATCGGGCAATCAAGCAGCGTCCAACTGTCTGTCTCGTCATCGTACACTTCGATGCTGGCCTGACCCTTCCTCTTCCGCCCACCGCCTCCGATGACATACAGGTATGCCGCTTCCCATTGAGGTATGCGCAGCCGAAGAAGCCATGATCTCTGACCAAACTGCCTGCAATAACATATACAGACAACGAATGTCATGTCATAGATTTGGGTTGTACGCAATACAGACACCGTCAGACAGACAGCCAGCCGGTACGCAATACCGCCACAATGGAAGCGACGCCCCGGCGCAGCGTGCTGGGCAATGAAGCTCGCGACACCGCCCAGGTACAACGCCGTCAGAGAGATCCCGGGACGGGTTCGTCTCACGTAATGAATCATTTTCAACATACGAAGGACATTCAGCATCTGTATGGGGTGTGAGCTGTGAGCGGATGCTGTACACGGCCAACGGAGCAGCGGTCAGCTTCGAGGAGGAACTGGCTTATGCGCGCCCGATCCTGCAGCGCACGGTAATTCACGACGGGTTTCAGTGTGACAAGGCCAATGTGCTGAAGGACGGGCAGTGTTTGCCTTGCAGTCCCGGCACGTTTTTCCAGGTAAGTTGGTGTTTATGAATTTTCAGATGCTTCTTTAACGGAAGGAATTAACAGCGGGTTTTTCTAAAGGAGGTTTTCTTAAAATTTATTCTTCATACTAGGGTAGGCTTAAATAAGTTGATCTGAGCAATATTTAATTTTCTTTATATAAATTTATTCTCATAAAAATTATTTTTTGTATATTTTCCTCAAATGAAATTACAAATCTTTTTGACAAGAAAACTCAAATGTTGAATCTAGAAAAGGATATTTTCGCTTAGCTCATCTTTTATATTAAAACACTTGAATTTAGAAAGATTTTTTAAAAAAATTATTAACCGAACTTGTAGGATAACGACGCGCCCGGTGTCCAGTGGGACATGCACCCGACGCGTCGTTATCCGGTATCCGTTATCCGTCGTTATCGTTACCCGGACGCAGTCGGTGTCCCACTTTCCAGGACGAATGGGCGCCACCCCGCTGCACCTGCCCCCACTCGACCATCTGCACTACCGGCGCCACGGGCCCCTGCGACGGCAAATGATTTTTTGTGTAACGGACTTGTCCGTTACACAAAAAATGGTTAAAATCCTGGTTTTCGAAATTCTGCTGATTTTTGTCTTGAGTACTGATAGTGATGGTAATCTGGCTGGTCTTAGAATTTTATTGGCGGACAGGATGGTGGATGCGATTTTATTGTGCTCCCACAATTCTACTACCCACACCGTTCACCTTTCTGGTGGTTTAATACAAGGCGTGCCGAGGCTAGCTGCGTGCGGATGTGTCCACGGGATCAGATGCACGGTAAGCATATCCTTCGAACAAAGGCGTTGGAACACGTCTGTGAAATACGTTCCTGGCAACTTCCTGCTGGAGGTGCAGTACTCTGTCTCTGTGTATTACGTATGTTTTTTTACGTTCGCAGTGAAGTAAAGGTACGTATTACTCACTGTAAGTGTAGACAGTGTGGAGTGTAGTAAAACTACACAGACTTTAATACGTGTGTTAACTACTTTTTTTTATGGGGGTCCCGTACTTTATTTCAATAGCGTGATGACAATATCAAGATCTGATTACGGTCAAACGAAACAACATTCTCGACGGTCCCCATTACTGAAGCAGCATTACCACGTTGAATTGCTAAAGAGATGTTCTGTTTCAAAACTCCAGACTACGAATCTCGCCGGCTTGTAGCAAAATCCTCTTCCCAATCTCGTTAACAAATCCTACTACTTACTGTACCAGCCTCTTTGGCAGAACTGCTCGTATAGCCGTAAACTAATACAGGCCCGTACTGTACCGTACTGTACATGCAGCAACTTTTGCAGCTGCTGCTGTATTGTACAAGCAGCTAAAGTGACAGACTGACAGTACTGTAAACTCTCTGACTGCAAACAGTGCACACGAATTTACAACTTTTCTTTCTTGTTGCGACATTTAATTTCTTCACAGCAGGTCAGTGCTGGCGAATCTGGTAATTTTGGTAATTTGTGCTTTGAATAAGCTTATTTGCAAATTGCAACTAATTTTCTGACTCCTACTTCTGTAATCACTGGATACAGAACTTGCAGTTCATTTGACTATCAGTTTGTAGCTGTTTGATAATTTTTCACTCCTGATTTCTTGCATCATGCCGAAGCCAAGCAGTAACACTGCTGCAGATCCTCAGCTTCCTCAGGATTGCCCCGCTAACGCGACGGAGTTCTTGCGTGGAATGCGTGATCTGCAGGCAACGGGTATCTTTTGCGATGTCGTCTTGAAAGGCAGTGATGAATCCTTGCAGGGGATTCCTTGTCATCGCAGCGTGCTCAGCGTACAGAGCCCTTACTTTCGCGCTGCCTTCACGCACAACTGGAAAGAATCCTCTGAACCTGTTTTCCGGCTGGCCAATATCGACAACCTCACGTTGCAGGAGTAAGTCTCCGTATTTGGCAACAGCATGGCACGGTGTTCATTCAGCTGTGATGAACTTCAGAGCGTTTGAATGAATGGGGAACCTGGCAGTGCAAGTTGTGATTGAATAGTTCTGTGTTTTACCCGGAGCCGGAGAGTGGAGACTACTTTTTGCTTTCATGGTTTTGTGAATTTGAGCACCAGTCTTGTTATATCTTTCTGTTATACTGCAATAACATTTAGTGTTCCTCCATGATTAGACTTGATTCTTTGCAGGTTGGTGGCGTATGCGTACACGATGAATCTGCGCTTGAGCGATGACACCGTTGTGTCAGTCTTGATTGCGGCGCAGTTCCTGCAGATGACTCCGGTGGCCCGAATGTGCTGGAAGTACGTGAAACAGCACCTGTCCCTGTCCAACTGCCTGGACGTCCACGCGCTGGCTTCGCAGCACAGCAATCCGCGCCTGGCCAGCGCAGCTTTGCACTTTATCCAGCTGCACTTCCAGATCTTGGCGCAAAGCCAGGAATTTCTGGAGTTGGACGCGCATCAGGTACTCGGTCTGCTTTTCTTTGATAATTGTGAATGCGTGATCGCAAAATTCGTACGCTGTGTACAAATTCAATTACAAGTTGCGGTAGGATTAGAAATTTGAAATTACAGCATTCCAAAACCAAATTGGGCTTCGAATATTTGAAACGGTTCGAAATAATAAAACTAATTCTTGTAATAATTACCATTTTATTATCTTAGATGGACAGATCATGTGAAATGCTGATTTGGTAAAATAAGTACTGTACTACGAAACGATTGTTTTAAAGGGAAAATAAAGTTTTTTTTCGGTTTCGAGTTTTAATTTATTTGGACTCGGTTTTTCGAATAATTTCAAAACTGTTGTTCGAAGTTCAGCCTTAATAAGCGACTATAATTATGTCTACTTAGTACATTTGACATGTGAGTTTGTTTGCAGCTGGCTGCACTGATCGCATCGGATGCAGTGGACGTGTTCAGTGAGGACCAGGTGTGGGAGACGGTGATGCGCTGGTTGGACCACGACCGTCCCGGACGACTTGCGAACATGCCCGTCGTCCTGCACAACGTCCGTGCTCCCTTCCTCAGCGATCAGTATCGGGAGAACTGGAAGTCCGCGATGGCCGCCAACGGACTGCCTCTCGGGGAAGGGCAGGGCACTGCAGAACGGCATTCGTATGGTGAGGACTACGCAGTTGTCTGACTTGCTTTCCGCGTTTTGACTTCGGTGTAAAAATACGTGGGAGACATATGTGGCGCTGCCAAGTGTTGGTATTCACCTGAGTCATGAAGAACTCGTACTAGATACTGTTTGCCCTTACGTCGTACTGACTCGTACCTTGTTAATGAGTGTTCGTTAGCACTGTTATTGGCTAATTGTGTGAAGGCTGTTGCCGATAAGAAATAGCGACAGCGTTTCTTACAAAATTAACAGGATTACCGAAGTGCTGTACGCACGTTTTTTGACAAACAAAAAATTGACCGTTGTTTTATTTGGTTTGTTATATTCCAGGTGCGCAGGATGTGATCCTTTGTGTGGGTGGTTTCCTGGGCGACAACGACAAAACTGCCGTGTACGCTTTCAGCCCATCAATCCCAACCGTGTGGCGCTTGGAGGATCTGCCCGCTGACGCCGATGACTGCCGCACGGTGCTGCTGGACGCCGCTTCCTTTCTGATTTTCCACCATAATGGTATGCACATCGTGCAACGCGACAGCCACTACACGGGTCTCCGTGACAAGTGGCGCGAGGTGGACCCGACGCCGCGCTGGAATACGACGGCTGCCGCGCTGGATGGTCGCATCTACGTCTCCGGTGGCAATGCCTGTGACGATGATAGACGGAACGTGGAGGCCTTCGACCCTAAACGCAATTCCTGGAGACCAGTCGCCCCGCTGCCCGTCTACCTGACCTGCTTTGAAATGGTGGCTTCCTGCGGTCGACTGTTTGTGTTGGGCGGGGAAGGCGACGAAGGCGGCGATGAAGAGTATGGCCGATGGGTTTTTTCGTACGACCCTGATACAGATAAATGGACTCAACTGCGCGATAAGCCGACCGCAGACATCGGCAGACATGTCTGCGTGGGTGCAGAAGGGTTGGTTTTCGTTATCGGTAAGCGAGTTGAAGTTAAAGATAACATGGCATGGCAGCCTTCAGTAATCACTTGGTACAGTCGTTCGATTATTTTTAACTCTGGCTTACTCAAGTGAATCAGAATGTGGTGGTATGCGGTTGTATATGAGAATGCACACAGCCGAAGCATAGGTCTGTAGAAATACTGTAGTATATTGTATATGTCAAGAGGATGCGAAACGGTTTGTGCGCGTGGATGCTTACGACCCCGCCACCGACCAGTGGGTGAGAAAAGGTGGGTTCTATATCGTTGTTCTATATCTTTAAGCGTGTGGAGCTATAGAATCTGATATGTTCTTCAACTTTTCTCATATATGTTTGCCGCTTCACGTTTTTATATTCTGACGTTGGGCATCCAGGCACTTTTATATCACCACAAAACGGTGTCTTTAGAAAATATCCCGCTTTTAATCGTAAAATCCTTCTGCTTACGAAATTAAAAAACCCTTTGTGTGGTTTCCTGTACACAGAGTACAATTCAGAAATCGCTACTCAAAGTGACCGAAATACGCAAGATATCGTAGTATTGTTGGTATTTGCGATTTGTTATTGCAGCGGATCTGATCAGGGAGCGCGTTAACCCCGGATGCGCGTACCTGAATGGGAAGCTGTACGTTATTGGAAGGGACCGATGGGTAGAGGATGGATACTGCAGCATCGAAGTGTACGATCATGAGACGGACAGCTGGACGCTGCAGGAATGCCAAATACCGGAGAGCGAGTACGGCTTCGATTGTGTGGTCATGAAAATGAAACCCGGCTGACGCACGATCCGACCAACGGCTAACCATGTGTGGTTTATTTTCCGGTTGTGTCTTAATTGCGTTTTGAATTGTCAGATACGTTTTTTGCCGTATGTTTCAAGCCTTTTTAATGACGTTGTGATGTTTCTGCCGGAATTCCTAGGTCGACTGCGAAGCGATATTGGGTTTCAGTAGAATGAGCAGCCACTGAGCGCCAAGAACACCCCAGGGGGCCGCGCAGTAACACCTGCCGGCCATTAACTATACAATTAAATTTAATTTAAATAAAACAATAGGTATACGTAATTTATACTAATTTAATTAGATTACGTAATTCATTAGTGGAAACAATGGCTAATTTACAGTTTTTTTAATTAGTGAAATAAAAATACTACAGTAGAGTAGCTTTAATGAAAAAATTTCCGCCGTTTTATCCCGGTCACCAAAAACCATGAAAGAATTCCCCGTACCACATTTGCAAAATATCACCTCCGTACCACGCATACAACATTCAAAACAATTTTATCCCCTCGTTACCGCGCGCATAACTAAAAACAACAAATCATCCCCGGCACCACGCGTACACATAACAAGAAAACAAATGACACTGCAACCACTCCGATGCATTTACGAAGCAAAACAAAACAACTACGCATCCACTCATTCCGAATTCCGCGTTCCGTCCACATCGCAGTTCCACTCAACGTCCTGCAAAAAGTACGAGTATTAATGTAAGTTGAATAGCGACAGCGTTTTTTCTTTAAATGATTAATCAGGCACACGCGTACAGCTCAGAACATGCGCAGTCGATTATGGAACTGCTTCGCAGTCATTTCCCCGGCAGGCACACGTGTAATGTTCCCATCCACTGCAACAACAACACCGTTTGGCTTCCGAACGCCACCCAGCAACTGCATACCCTCGACGGCAGCCTCCGCTTCACGTGGCTGGATAACATCGGTGCCGGCTAAAAGACATAATTGTTAAAATGATTAAAATGGTAATAAAAAAACGATTAAAATTATTAAAAGAGTACCACTGCTTGGCTCAGCAGACGACGCCGAAGACGACGACGAAGAACGATCGCGCGCGGGGGCCACCCGCTGACCACCAAGTCCACGAGCCGTTGCCGGCAAACTGGGATTCACTCCATTAGGCCGACCAAGGCAGATACGCTTCGAGAGTGCAGGGGCTGGACTCGGTGAGCGCGCACGGACCGGCGCAGCTGTGCGTGTACCGCGGGACCCTTGCATTCCACGAGGCGCACGTCCGCGCGGTGCTCCCCGCGAACACACGGCAGTTCCTGGGGCTTTCTTTGGGGATCGAGTGCGCTGCACTTCAGCCGTAGATGTACGGCCACGGGCCGACACAGCATTTCCACGCCCTCGAATGGCCCGTCCGGGCCGCATGCTACGTCCGCGTGTGCCTACAAAAACATTTTTGCACATAATTATGAACTTAATGCGTCAGAATACGTACGCGGAGTCGGACTGGTCGGAATCGGCGCGACTTCTGCATCTTCATCCGAAGATGACTCCAGCGCCAAAGGACGCTTCCATCCACCGTGCGCGATAGGTTGTGCGGCTACGGCCACGGCCGGTGCAGAACGTTGTGGTGCGGCAGCCGGTACGTACAGGTTTTGGCGGCGCTGTTTCTGGTACTCCAGATATTTATCAAGGTCACCTTCCGGACTGAACCGAGGATCGTTGCGCAAGTTCTGCTCCCATGCATACTGAACAAGGTCAAGATTGCGCGGCATCACGGTTACACGATTGGCATGATCAGCCGCTGCGGCTCCTTTCTCGCAAATCTTAATAAGGAGGAACTCTGCCTTCTCCTGTAAAGCAAATAAGGCAGCCGACTGGATCGTAAAGTCAGGCCGTATGCCCTCCATGACCTCCCGCACAAGACGCTGAAATGCCATGCGACCGCAAATTAATTCAACAGAATTCATTCGTTCGCGAAGTTTCCGCATTGCTTCGCGTCCCATTCGGTGGGTCAAAATGCGGTCCGGATCCGGTGCGCGCGTCGATGAGCCAGCTACACTCACTGCACTCGTACCACTGTCAGCAGTCGTACCACTGGCACTACTATGTGGTGCATCTTTGTCAGGTTCCGCGACATTGGACTGCACAGCGACGTCCATATCGGCCTCGGGCTCCTCTCCGACACCCATTTCCTCCAAATCCGCCCGATTGGCCGCCGCGTCCTCTTCATCTGCTCCTTCGTCACCGGCCAGCTCCACACTATCTGCCGGTGGAGCGCGAACTGAGCTTATCATACGATTCACGGCCGCCAGTGTGCTAAAAAAATCGAATTTGGTTAGCATTAGCTTGTTGTAATACATAACATTATGCACAATGACCACCAAAATCGAATAATTTTATAAAGCAAAGTTCAAAAAGTTAATACACCGCGTACTGTACCTCAGGGCCGATGCGTCTGGAGTCTGTGCGGGAGTGTCTTCCGCAGTGTGTCCGGATGTGCCGTCTTGGAGCGGCGGAGTGGCACGCCCCTCTTCGTCGGAGGAGTAGCTGTCCCCGATGTCCGTGGTCAGTGGTTTACCAGTCTTACGACAGAGCAGCTGCTCCGTAGACGTTCGGGGTGTGGTACGGGGTAGGCCGGATGAGACGGGTTGCTGCTCCGGGATCTCTATAGAATCATCCATCTTCAACAAAAAAGATATTATTACTCCCTAACAAATAAAATGCACCGAATACTTGCTCTAAACCGTCCTATACCATAATTGCTGTATATGAGTACAGTATATGTGAAGAGTGTAAAATTTCGAATTTGGTAAGCAACTTGATCTACGAATACCATAACTAGTATGAAATGCCAACCAAAATCGAACTTTTATTTTTTCAGCAGAATCTGTACAATAACCATGTTTTTACACCTCAGAATACGTCGCTATCACAGTAAAACGCACCGAATACTGCATCCTACATTACAACCTATGTATAAGTACAGTACATATGAATAACGTAAAATTTCGAATTTGGTAAGCAACTTGATCTACGAATACCATACCAGAACGTGATGCCAACCAAAATCGAATTTTTATTATTTCGTAAAAATCTGTACAGTAATTATTTTTTTTTTACACCGCAGAACGTAACATATCACAAAAACAGAAGATCACATTATCAAAATGGAAGCGCAGACATCAGAGATTCAAACTACAGAATCTGTACAGAAACAAGTATGTACAAAATCAGAACTAATTTGTACAAAAAGCATATGTACAGTAATTAAAGGTCGGTATGCTCATTAACCACCGACATTTCGGTACTTTCGGTACTGATAGCGTGGGCTACAGGAGCGCAACGACGCTTAAGAAAAACCACTGCGCTTGATATGGCCGCAATCAGGGTAATTACGCCGATGATGGCGTAAACGACGTTGGGCACATTGAACGCGCTGTCGGGCTCGTCGGTCGGCGGCTTGGTCATCGGTGCCGGATCATGGTTCGCGGTGGTGGTTGCCGCGGGTTTGCTCGGCGATATACTCGTGCCCGAATCAGTCGTGTTCAGCGGCACCGTCGTTGTGGCTGTGACGGGGAGCCGTCCACAGTCTGATAAGACCGTAAACTTGACGGTCGCGGGCTCTCCACAATCCAGGATCGGATTACCACGGGCATCGAACAGGCGCAGCCGCGGGAAAAATCGGGCAAGAGCAGCGTACGGGACACTATACAGCCTGTTCTTCTGGAACAGGACGACCTGCACCCAGTGTTCTGCAGCGCGCAGTGTGGGCAGAGTAGTCAAGTCCCGCCCGCCGCAGTTCACAACGCCCTCGATGCGCTCGCACTGACAGTGGCTGAAACAGCGCGTCCATACACCGCACGCGCTGCTGGCCACTGACAGCAAGACCAAGACCTGAAGCAGGCGGTGCATCTGCAACAAAACGATGAGTTAACAGCATTCTGACTTTGAACGCATATTCAACCAGATACGCAGACACGCACACACACACACACAAACATACAGTAGTTCTGCCGAAACTTTTGCCGATGTACCGTGCCACTGAAGATATATTCGCCGTTATTTTCACACGAGTTTGAGAATGTCTTTAGAAAACGCCGCTAACGCTCTGTTCCCGGTCGGAACTGGAGAACGTATGATGAAAAACGGTGTTGTATACTACAGCACCGTTCAGCAGGACGACGTTCATATGCTACAAGGAGTTTATCGGGATCTTTTTGCCCGTTTTACAGACGCTCAGAAGTATTATCCTGATCTCACTATTGGTGTTAGAGCGCAGTTTGTTAAGGAAACTTGGTTCCATCAACAGCCGCTTGGAGAAGTAGCGTTTGCACTGTATCCTAAAGAGGAAAAGGGGACTAATATCGCCTTCAGAGAGAATCCAACTAAGTGTACCGAGGAAAATTGGAAAGAATGGCGCCCCATCGTTCGCGATTTGGCACACGGTCGTATGCGGAACTATTTGAAGTATCAAATCAAGAAATGGCGCAAAGCCTGCCCCAGCGTCGGCTATCGTATCCAGCAAGTTATTACGTTCGAGTGCCCTGACGGTAGTGGTGTCAAAGTTTGGAATGAGACATGCACTGGTATATGTGGTGACGACGACGATATCGTTCCTCCCGTACCAAAATTCGATTATTTTTATCAACGCGTGGACAAGTTCGAAAAGCTGAAGAAACTGGAACAGGGACGAGTTCCGTTCACTCAACCAGACGATCTGGGAGACGGGAAACGAGACACAAAGGGCGGGTTCACACCACCGGTTCATCCATCTTGGGGTGACGAGTTTGACGGAAAGCCGGCTGACTTACTCATTTTTGACGATGCCAACTGATCAACTACAACTGGTACGTTTTTGTTCTGCAAATTCAGTTTGAAATTTCCGGTTTGAAATCATATTTTTAATTTTGAAATTTTTTGATCCATAGAAATCATGGACCCTGAAACGCCACCACCGATTCCCGTAGAGGAAAAGAACTCGCGGGGAATACTCATCTGGGCTCTATTCTACGCCATACCGTTTGTATTTTCTCA